CAACCCCGGCCACGCCCCTAAGGCCTGGTCCAATCCCACACACTCTCGCCTTGGCTCCACCCCTGTACCCGCCCCCAGATTGGGCTTCCTGTCCCACATCCTGGTCCAATAGGGATGTGGTAGCCCTCCTCTTTGCCCCGCCCCACCAAGTTCCAACGTTCTGATTGGTCCACCAACCCTTTCCCCTCCCCCCACTGCATGTTGCCCCTCCCACATCGAGTGTCCCGCTGTGACCCTGCCCACTTGCTCCTCTTCCACCGGTTCACCATCTGCTTCTCACTCTGGCTGTCACCAGTTTCCAGCCCCTTCACTGTCTCTTCACCCTACTTGGAGTACTCTTTGCCCTGACCTGCCCCACCCTCAGCCTGTCCCACCCTATGCCCTCTCTGGCCCCGCCCTAGTCCCATGCTGGCCTCGCCTACACCATGGCCCCGCCCCACACATTGGTCCTGCCACATATCCATGCTGGCTCCACCCACGTCCTGGCCCCACCCCATACTAGTGCTGGCTCCACCCATACCATAGCCCCACCCCATGCTACTCATGCTGGCTTCACCCACACCATAGCCCCACCCTGTGCCACTCATGCTGGCTCCACCCACACCATAGCCCCACCCCATACTCATGCTGGCTCCACCCACACTATAGCCCTGTCCCACACTCATTGGTCCCGCCACATATCCATGCTAGCTCCACCCACATCCTGGCCCCACCCCACCCTCATGCTGGCTCCACCCACACCATGGCCCCACCCCATACTAGTGCTGGCTCCACCCACACCATATCCCCACCCTGTACTCATGCTGGCTCCACCCACACCATGGCCCCACCCCATACTAGTGCTGGCTCCACCCACACCATAGCTCCACCCCCTACTAGTGCTGGCTCTACCCACACCATGGCCTCACCCCACACTCATTGGTCCTGCCACATATCTGTACTATCTCCACCCACATCCTGGCCCCAACCCATACTCATGCTGGCTCCATCCACACCATAGTCCCACCCCATACTCATACTGGCTCCACCCACACCATAGCCCCACCCCATACTAATGCTGGCTCCACCCACGCCATAGTTCCACCCCATACTACTCACGCCGGTTCTACCCACACCATGGCCCCACCCCATACTAGTGCTGGCTCCACCCACATCACGGCCCCGCCTCACACATTGGTCCTGCCACATATCCATGCTAGCTCCACCCACATGGCCCCGCCCAATACACGTGCTGCCCCCACCACACTACGGCTCTATGCATTCTCATATTGCCCTACCCCATGCCCACTGTGCCCCTGCTCCACACTCAGTGCTGGCCCCGCCACACTGGCCCTGCCCCATGCCCACTCTGGCTCCACCCCACAGACTGCTGCCTTGGGCCTGGCGCGCCTGGGACTCTCGTGGTACGCGGACCGGCCTGCGGGCACCTACAGCGGAGGGAACAAGCGCAAGCTGGCGACGGCCGTGGCGCTGGTTGGGGACCCAGCTGTGGTGTTTCTGGTGCGTGGAGGCGGCACCTGAGTGGGGTGGGGCCTGCGACGGAGGCTGGGCCTGACTTAACGGGATTTTCCCACTCCCCAGGACGAGCCGACCACAGGCATGGACCCCAGCGCGCGGCGCTTCCTCTGGAACAGCCTCCTGGCCGTGGTGCGGGAGGGCCGCTCCGTGATACTCACCTCACACAGGTGGGCCGGGCGCAGAGGCCCCGGGCTGTGGTTAAGGCGATCCATGCCTGGAGAGAGACTCCCAAAGCCACCGGGATGGGGGGGTCCTGTTCTGGTCCTGGTGGGATGAGGGTGCCAGGCCCCAGGGCGTAAGGATACGCAGAGGTGGGATGCAGCCCCGGATCATAGCGGTCTGGGCTGGGTGGGGAGATGTCCAGACCAGAACGGTGGCCCGGGCCTGGGGAAGCAGGAGATGTGGTGCCAGGCACAGGTAGCCCAGGCCTCATGGAGCTCGTGGGCTGGTCCCGACAGCATGGAGGAGTGTGAAGCGCTCTGCTCGCGCCTGGCCATCATGGTGAATGGGCGGTTCCGCTGCCTGGGCAGTGCGCAACATCTCAAGGGCAGGTGAGTGTGCCGGGCCTCCAGGCAGGTGTGGGATGAAGATGGGCACGAGGTGGGCTCAGTAAAGAGGCCAGACGTGGGGACAGAGGTGAGGAAAGTTTGGCTAGGTTGTAGATTAGCCTTCATGGGTGACAGAGGGCCAGACAGGCTAGGGTGTGCTGGGTCGCAGGACCAGGAGGCCTGAGCCAGAGGCTCTGGGTGGATTTATGACATAATCAGGTGTGCGGTGGAGAAGGTGCAGCCAGGAGAGGTGGGAGTGGGTTGATGGGTGGAGTTAGCGGAGGGCCTGGTGAGTGGGCGGAGCCTTGAGGAAGTGGGTGGGGTTGTTTTTTGTGGGCGCGGCTAGGGTGCAAGGGTGGGGCCACCTGTGCCAAAAGAGGAATCAAGTGGGGTGATAGCTTCAAGACCAGCCTGGGCAACCTAGGGAGACTCTGCCATTTCTTTCTTTCTTTTTTTTTTTTTTTTTTTTTTTTTTTTTTGAGACGGAGTTTCGCCCTTGTTACCCAGGCTGGAGTGCAATGGCGCGATCTCGGCTCACCGCAACCTCCGCCTCCTGGGGTCAGGCAATTCTCCTGCCTCAGCCTCCTGAGTAGCTAGGATTACAGGCACGCACCACCATGCCCAGCTAATTTTTTGTATTTTTGGTAGAGACGGGGTTTCACCATGTTGACCAGGATGGTCTCGATCTCTCGACCTCGTGATCCACCCGCCTCGGCCTCCCAAAGTGCTGGGATTACAGGCTTGAGCCACCGCGCCCGGCCATTTCTTTCTTTCTTTTTCTTTTCTTTATTTTTTTTTTAAAGATGGGGTTTCACCATGATGACCACGCTGGTCATGAACTCCTGACCTCAGGTGATCCACCCACCTCGGCCTCGCAAAATGCTGGGATTACAGGCGTGAATCACCGCGCCTGGCCTAGGGAGACCCCCATTTCTATTAAAAAAAAAAAAAAGAAAGAAAGAAAAAGAAAAATTGGGCCGGGCGCGGTGGCTCACGCCTGTAATCCCAGCACTTTGAGAGGCCGAGGCGGGTGGATCACGAGGTCAAGAGATCGAGACCATCCTGGTCAACATGGTGAAACCCCGTCTCTACTAAAAATACTAAAAATTAGCTGGGCATGGTGGCGCGTGCCTGTAATCCCAGCTACTCGGGAGGCTGAGGCAGGAGAATTGCCTGAATCCAGGAGGCAGAGGTTGCGGTGAGCCGAGATCGCGCCATTGCATTCCAGCCTGGGTAACAAGAGCGAAACTCCGTCTCAAAAAAAAGAAAAAGAGAAAAATTAGCTGGACGTGGTGGTGCTTGCCTGTGGTCTCAGCTACGCGGGGCACTGCGGTGAGAGGATCACTTGATGGCTAGCGTAGGTACTAGCATGGGGCTGGAGGGTGAGCTGAGCTAGGCCCTGGAAAGGCCCCATCCTGTAGCCCTGGCCCCACTCACTGCAGATTCGCGGCTGGACACACGCTGACCCTGCGGGTGCCCGCTGAGAAGTCCCGTTCGGCAGCGGCCTTCGTGGAGGCGGAGTTCCCCGGAGCGGAGCTGCGCGAGGCACACGGAGGCCGCCTGCGCTTCCAGCTGCCGCCTGGAGGGAGCTGCGCCCTGGCGCGTGTCTTTGGAGAGCTGGCGGCGCACGGCACAGAGCACAGCGTGGAGGACTTTTCCGTGAGCCAGACCATGCTGGAGGAGGTGATCACGGCGCCGGGGTGGGGCTGGGGGAGGCCGGCTGGGAGCCATGCCGCCTGTGGGCTGACCGCCCCTGTGTCCCTTCTGTACTGCCCACCTCCAGGTATTCTTGTACTTCTCCAAGGACCAAGGGAAGGATGAGGAAGAGGACGCGGACGAGCAGGAGGCACCAGTGGGAGTGGACCCTGTGCCAGGCCTGCCTCGCCCCAAATGCGTCAGCCAGTTCCTTCATGACCCCAGCACCCTGGAGACTGTGCTCTGAGCCTCCTTCCCCTTCGGGTCCACGGGGAGGCCCCAGGAATAGCAAGGGCAGGGTAGAGTGCCCAGGAGACTGAGCTCAAGCTGCCAGAGGGGCTGGTGCCCTGGAGAAAATAAAGAGAAGGCTGTAGAGAAGCCGTGAAGGTGAAACTGTGTGCATGTGTCTCCTTGTGCCAGGCTGCACACAGCTGCCTGCACATGTGTCTGGATATGGTCCCTTGCACGCTGAGTGTGCACATATGTGCCAAGTGGCCATTCGTAGGACACAGGTGTGAGCCTATCTACAGCTGACTGGATCCCAGCTGTAAATGCCTCTGTGGCCAGCCCAGAAGTTGGGGATGCAAGTTCAGGCCTCATAAAAGCCTGGTCCCCACGTCCCTGCATGGCCACATGGGGCTGGCGCCTAAGGGCGGTACCTGTAAGTGCCTAGCCATGAAGTGGGGATGAGGTCAGGGCTCTGGAATGTCCTGGGAAGCTTAGAGGAGCCCGGTGTCCTAGAGCACAGGCCCCCTGGCCGGGCCAGAAGCCGGCCTGACATCCAGCTGCCCCTCACCCCCTGATCCTGGCCCTCAGAGCCATGAGTCAGGGGCAAAGAGTTCTCAAGGGTCTGCTGGGCTGGGTTTGTGCTTGGACCCGGGCCTGGAGAGCTGGAATTGGAGCTGGGGGCTGTGACCTTCGTGTCCTGTGCCTGGGAGACCCGCCCCTCCCACCCGAGGTAGGTGGGAATGGAGTTTGGGAAAGGAGAGAGGTTGGGGTTTTGGGATTGGGGGTGGGGTTCTGAAAGGGGAGATCAGGGAGACCTGGGGAGGGGAGAGAGTTTACTCGGCGGGGGGTGGGGGAAAGTGGGAGGCCGGGATCTGTCCGCCTGCAGATGCCCCTGCTCTGGGTCAGTGCTGCCTCAGGCTGTTATCAGCCACGGGTGCCTGCGTCCTGCTGCCCAGCACGTCCGGTGGTCCGGAGTCCCTGGAATGCAGCATGGGAGGCTGGGGCGGGGACCTTAGCTCAGGGCAGTGCTGAAGTCTGGAGCAACCTGATACGGCCCACAAGGCTGCCGAGACATAACCAGATGTCCTCAGCATATGGTGGGGTCCACACCACAGCTTGGGGACCCCCATGGAGGCAGCCCAGCGGTGGGGGCTGGGGCCCACAAGGACAGGGCCGAGTAACCTGGACTGTTCTGACTCTTCCTGAACTTCCTTGCCCCCAGGGCTTCGATTCTGGGCCTCAGTTTCCCCACCTGTCCTGACCCGGCCCACCTCATGGGGCTGCAGGATGGGTGATGGGGTGACCCTACTCTGCCCTGCCCTTCCCTGCCCTAGGGTCTGCAGGGAAGGTGCCTGCCTGGAGGGTGGAGCTGGGGTTCGCCTTCAGGAATAAGGGGGCTGCAGGGGCGCAGCTTCGGCCCGTGCGTGTGTCTGGGGTCTGAGGGCGAGGCCCCGGGAGCTTGGTGGCGTCTGAGCGCGTGTGGAGGTCCATGTCACCGTGTGTCATCATGCACACGTGTCTGTGCACGCCCAGGCGCGTCCATGAGTGACGGTCAGCACCCTGCAGTCGGCCACCCTGTGCCCGCCAAGAGCCCCAGCGCCAGCCAGGGGCTCCCCGGTTCCATTCCGCGCGAGCGGCGCGGCTCTGAGCTCCCGAAAGCGGAAGCGGGGGGCGCGGCCCGGGGCTGGGGCGGGGCCTGCGACCTCACCTTCGCGCCCACTCCACGGAGCCGCAGCCCGAGGCCGGGCAGGGTTGGGGGCGAGGCCGCACCGCCGCCTCCCCGAAGCCTTTTCCTGTCGCGGGGAGGGCCCGTCGGTGACGGCCGGGCCCGTCACGTGGGCCTGACAGCTGGGGAGGGGGTGGCCGGTGACAATGTGGTCCCCAGGCGGCCTGGGGGAGCTGCGGCGCTGAGACCCCTGGCCCGTCCCGCCCAGCCGGCCCGCCTCGGGCTCCCGGCCCGGGCCCCGTCATGTTCTCCAGGAAGAAACGGGAGCTCATGAAAACCCCTTCCATCTCCAAAAAGAACCGCGCGGGAAGCCCCAGCCCGCAGCCCTCAGGGGTGAGTGGAGCCGGGGCGGGGACCCGGGGCTGACACGGGCCGCGGGGGGACCGGGACGCGCCCTGCGCTCGGGGACCATGCTGGGGCGGCGGCTGGGGGCCCGTGCCAGCTACAGCCCCTGCCGGGTGGGACGGCAGAGAGACCGGGACCCTGGCGTTCAGCTGACGGTAGGGACCCTGGGAGTGGGGGCCGCCTCTCTCCACTGCGTCCAGGGCCGGCTGCGGGGCCAGGGAGCGGGAAGGGAGGGGACCAGGGTGGGGCTATGCCAGGTTTGGGTCTCTGTGGGGCGAGGGCTTAGGCAGTCTGGGGGCTCCAGGAGCCGTGGACGTGGGAGGGCTGTGGCCTGGCTATCGGGTTGAAGGTTTCCCCGGGGCAGCAGATCCCTCTCATGCGGTCCAGCAGGTACCAGGGCTGGGGAGCGTCTCCAGGCCTGGGGTGTCTACAAAGCTTGGAGGTTGGGGGTGTCTACATGGCCTGGGGCTGTCCATAGGGTCGGGGGACTACAGACCTTCAGGGTACGCACCTAGTCACAGGTGTCTTTACTTAAAGTAGCAGCCTTATATGTAGAAGCCTGAGGGGGGTAGAGCTAGAAGGGCTGAAGACCATCCCCACCCCCACCAGGAAGTGGGGACCCCTCTCCCGCGCCTCCCCGCAGGCCCCGCCCCGGCTGTGGTTTGGGCCAGGACCGTTGTTTGTGAAAGCTGTAGGGAAGAGGATGTTGGGTAATAGGTGGGGGGTACACTCCCAAATCTCGGGCCTGTGACCCCTGGCCTCTGACCCCTGCGGGGTCAGGGTGACGATGGCCCTCCACAGCCCCACTTCATTTCTGGGGAAACTGAGACAGTGTCCAGGCTGGAAAATCCCTTTAACGAGTCCCCCTCGGACCTGCCCAAGGAGCTGCCCAGGAAGGATGGGGCGGATGCCGCGATCCCCGGACCGAGCCTGGAGCCGCCTGCCGGGTCCTCTGGCGTCAAGGCCACGGGCACCCTCAAGCGGCCCACCAGCCTGAGCCGCCACGCCAGTGCAGCTGGCTTCCCGCTGTCGGGTGCCGCCTCCTGGACACTGGGCCGGAGCCACCGGAGCCCGCTGACAGCTCCCAGCCCGGGCGAGCTGCCCTCTGAGGGCGCCGGCCCTGATGCCGTGGAAGACATCTCCCACCTGCTGGCGGACGTGGCCCGCTTCGCTGAGGGCCTTGAGAAGCTCAAGGAGTGTGTGTTGAATGACGGTGAGAGCCACCGGGACACTGAGGCCTGGGTGGGAGACAGAGCTAGATACGGATGTCTCCAACCCAAGAGAGGATGGGGGGAGGGACTTGGGGAGGCTCAGAAGGGAACGACAGTGCCGTGTAGAAGAGGCCGTGACCACTAAGGCTCTGAGGGATGTGTAAGAGTTTGGTAGGGGTGTCTCTGAGTGTACTCAGTCTCAGGAGGCTGCCCAATTGATTTCTTTTAAGTATCTGATGGCAATTGGGAGGGAAAAGCAGAGGTAACGTCCCATCCACAGGCTCAGAAACATGGAAACGTGGCCCCCATGCATTTGGGGGCCGAGGTGTGGGCGCGCTGGTGTGGGATAAAGGCCTGATGCCAGGCAGAAGGGCAATGGGGAGCCATAGAAGGTGTTTCAGCACAGGACAGATGGGAGCAGATCTGCGTTTTCGAATGACGCAAACGGGGGGTTGGCTGAGGTCTGGGTGGAGAGAGGTTCAGGGGCCGCAGTGAGGGGAAGGATGGGGGCGTCAGGCGGCTGGAGGTGCCGGGACTCAGTGGCCTGCAGGCCAGCAGTTCCGTTTTCTCTTCCACGCGGCCGCTGACAGCTCTGCTTCCTGCCGAGTTATTTTCATCTGCTTCCTGTTTGTCCCTGGCAGCCCAGCGGGCACCTCATGTGCCTTCAGCCCCGGCTCCTCCCAGAAACCACAGTGCCAGGGTCGTGCCAGGCGCCCTGATCAGCTCCCTGCAGCTGCCCATTTTACAGACGACGAAACTGAGTCTCTCGTGAGGCCCTGACTCTCGGCTCACCCAGCCAGGGCAGGGCAGAGCCAGGATTGGACCTCAGGTGGCTGAGTAGCCGCTGTGCCTTCAGGGCACTAGCTGGGGAAGGCCTGGTCACTGTTGGGAGGAGTGGGAGCCCCCGGGGTTATCTGGTCCCAGAGGCGGGGGCTAGGCTGGTTTCCTGGAGAAATCCTAATCTCAGTTCCTTTCCGATCCTGGCGCTTCCTTGGAGGCCTGGCCTGGGAAGGGCTCAGCTCCCAGGCTCCTGCAGGAGGTCCGAACTGGGCCAGCCAGGCCGGGACACTTTCTTTGTTTTGATAAAGGGTCTTGCTCTGTTGCCCAGGCTGGAGTGCAGTGGTGTGATCGAAGCTGACTGTGGCCTCAAACTTCTGGGCTTAAGCCATCCTCCCATCTCTGCCTCCCGAGTAGCTGTGGCTACAGGCCCATGCTGCGACACCCGCATAATTTTGGTGTGTGTGTATATATGTATATATATATATATATATATATATATATTTTTTTTTTTTTTTTTTTTTTTTTTTTTTTGAGACCGAGTTTCGCTTTTGTTACCCAGGCTGGAGTGTAATGGCACGATCTCGGCTCACCGCAACCTCCGCCTCCTGGGTTCAGGCAATTCTCCTGCCTCAGCCTCCTGAGTGGCTGGGATTACAGGCACATGCCACCATGCCCAGCTAATTTTTAGTAGTTTTAGTAGAGACGGGGTTTCACCATGTTGACCAGGATGGTCTCGATCTCTTGACCTCGTGATCCACCCGCCTCGGCCTCCCAAAGTGCTGGGATTACAGGCTTGAGCCACCGCGCCCGGCCAATTTTTGTATATTTAGTACAGGCGGGGTTTCACAATATTGGCCAGGCTGGTCTCAAACCCCTGACCTTGTGATCCGCCTTCCTCCATCTCCCAAAGGGCTGGGATTACAGGCGTGAGCCACCATGCCAGCCTAAGTTTTTTTTTTGTTTTTTGTTTTTTGTTTTTTTGAGACAGTCTCACTGTCACCCAGGCTGGAGGGCAAGGATTAGAGCTCAGTTCACTGCAACCTCCACCTCCTGGGTTCAAGTGATTCTCCTGCCTCGGCCTTCTGAGTAGCTGGGATGACAGGTGCATGCTAGCGTGACCAGCTAATTATTTTGATTTTGATTTTTTTGTATTTTTAGTAGAGATGGCATTTCACCATATTGGCCAGGCTGGTTTTAAACTCCTGACCTCAAGTGATCCACCCACCTCGGCCTCCCAAAGTGCTAGGATTACAAGCATGAGTCACTGCACCCGCCCAATTTTTGTATTTTTTTTGTAGGGTCGGGGTCTCCCCATGGGCAGGCTGGTCTAGAACTCCAGAGCTAAAGCTATTCTCTGGGATCTGCCTCCCAAAGTGCTGGAATAACAGGCCTGAGCCACCACGCTCGGCTGGGAGCACCTTCTGTGCGCCTTGGGGCTGCCCCAGGCCGGAGGAGGCGCTGGTCGCTAGGACGAGGGCTCCAGTTCCGGTGCCTCTTAGCTGCTGAGACCCTGGCGAGACCCTTCCCTCTCTAGGTCTCAGGTGACTTGTCCATAAATGGGGCCACCATGATAGCCCCGCAGGGTTGCTGAGCCATCACCAGACATCCTCTGCCTGCAGTGATGGTTGTGGGGTCCACCCCGCAGCTTGGGGACCCGCATGCATGGCCCACATGGGCGGGGTGGACACCCTGGGGCCGCCCCGACTCTTCCCGGGCCGCCTCGTTCCGGGGCTTCGGGTCTGGGCCTCAGTTTCCCCTCTCGTCCTCAACACTCCCCGCTTCGACTAGCCCCTCCCCAGCCGGGGCGGGTGAAGGGGACACCGGGGCGGGGTTTCCCTCGCGGGGGCGGGGCCTCCAGACTGGCCGGAGCCGGTTTGGCCTCTGGCAGCCACCGGAGACCCCCGTCGGTCAGCTGCCGGGCCCCACGCGCTCGCGGTCTCCGCGCCCCGACGGCCGCGCCATGTGCATCTGCGGGACCGCGAACCCGGCGCTGGACCTGGGCCCCGCGCGCTGCCGGGCGGGCCCCCGAAGTGACGGGACAGGTGTGGGGCGCGCGGTCCCCCAGCCCGTCCGGGAGCACGTGGCGCTCGGGCCCGCGATTGGGGAGCAGCAGCTGCCGCGCGCCGACCCTGGCTGCGCCCATGTGGGCATCCCCGCGCTGCGCAGGGGGTCGCGCTGGCTCCCCAGGTTGGGGGTGCACAGGGACCGCGGGGGTCCAGCTGCGCGGCGGGAAGGTCCCGGGAAGGAGCTAACTGGCTTCCCCCCAGGTGCCTGGAGCGCAGGCCGGTGCCCGGAGTCCGCCTCGCCTCCGGCAGCAAAGACGGGCTCCGGCTCGGGGTCCGAGGCGGGGCGGTCTCCTCCCGGAGGTGACATTCAGCCGGGGTCCTCAGCGCGGAAAGGGATGGAGCACTTACGGTTTCAGGTTCCACTTAGCATGCGGGGCACCGTCAGGCGTCAGAGCTGTCCCCCCCCACCCCGGCCTCAGTGTCTTCCACGAATCCCGTGGGTGTGTTTCCACTACACGGTGTGTGCCTGGCTCTGGTTATTTCTCCTGGATTCTCGGCTTGTTTCTTTCTTTCTTCCTTCCTTTTTTTTTTTAAAAAAAAAAAAAAAAACAAACAAAAAAACGGGGTTTCACTATGTGGGTCAGGCTGGTCTTGAACTCCTGACCTCAGGTGATCCGCCCGCCTTGGCCTCCAAAGTGCTTGGATTACAGGCGTGAGCCACCGCGCCCGGCCTGTTTCTTTTTTTTTTTTTTTTTTTTTTTATATATATTTTATTTTATTTTATTGCATTTTAGGTTTCGGTCTTTTTTTTTCTTTTCTTTTCTCTTTTGTTGTTGCCCAGGCTGGAGCGCAGGGGCGCAATCTCGGCTCACTGCAACCTCTGCCTCCCGGGTTCAAGCGATTCTCCTGCCTCAGCCTCCCCAGTAGCCAGGATTACAGGGGAGCACCACCCACACCAGCTAATTGTTGCATTTTTAGCAGAGGCAGGATTTTCTTGTTGGCCTGGCTGGTCTTGAACTCCTGACCTCAAGTGATCTGCCCGCCTCGGCCTCCAACAGTTCTGGGATCACAGCGCTTGGCCCTCTCTGCTTTTTTCTTCTTCCAGTTGAGAACTTTTGATGAGGGCATTTACCTTTTTGTTCTTTATTTTATTTTTCTTTCTTTCTTTCTTTTTTTTCTTTTTTTTTTTTTTTTTTGAGACGGAGTTTCGCTCTTGTCACCCAGGCTGGAGTGCAATGGCGCGATCTCGGCTCACCGCAACCTCCGCCTCCTGGGTTCAGGCAATTCTCCCGCCTCAGCCTCCTGAGTAGCTGGGATTACAGGCACGTGCCACCATGCCCAGCTAATTTTTGTATTTTTAGTAGAGATGGGGTTTCACCATGTTGACCAGGATGGTCTCGATCTCTTGACCTCGTGATCCGCCCGCCTCGGCCTCCCAAAGTGCTGGGAGGACAGGTGTGAGCCACCGCGCCCGGCCTCCTCTTTATTTTTTACAGACACAGGGTCTCACTGTATTGCTCAGGCTGGTCTTGAATTCCTGGGGTCAAGTCATCCTCCTGCCTCAGCCTCCCGAAGTGTGAGCTCACAGGTGTGAGCCACTCACTATGCCTGGCTGATGAGGGCAGTAAAAGCCAGGTTCCAACAGTCAGAGCTGACCACCACCCTCCTCTGCTCTTAACACCTTCTATGGCTCCCTGCTGCCCTGGAGATAAAGCCAGGCAGGATCCCTCTGCCTGGCGTTCTCATGCCTTCAAAGCTAGTATAGAGGGAAAAGCTGTGTGATTGTTGAGAAATGGCTTCCCATCGCTATGCCTCAGTTTCCTCACCCAGTTAGGAAGGGCAGAGAGAGAGACCTGGACGGGGCTTTGAGCTGTCCTGAGGGGTTAGGGCAAGGAAGGGTTTGCCTGGTGGGCTGCATGGAGAAGGGGCTGCAGGACTGTTGCTTCAAGGACAAGAGGCAGTTTGCTTTCTGGAGGGACAGGAAGAGTGCTCTGAGGTCTTTGATGACCTGGCCGGCAGCCCGGAGAGGGACAGTGCCCTATCTGAGGTCTCAAAGTGAGCCCCGGGCATCTGCGCGCTGCCACCCCTGCCTCAGTTTCCCCATCTGGGAACAGGAGCTCCAAAGAGGAGGGAGGAGGTGGACAGACCTTCCCTGGGAGTGGGCCCCACGCCACTGCTCACGCCGACTCTGCCCAGCAGACCTCCTTGAGGCTCGCCGCCCACTGGCCCATGAGTGCCTGGGTGAGGCCCTGCGTGTCATGCGTCAGGTCATCTCCAAGTACCCACTGCTGAACACCGTGGAGACGCTCACAGCAGCCGGCACCCTCATCGCCAAGGTCAAAGGTCAGCCTGCTGGAACAGGGCTCTCTGCCTGGAAGGGCGTCCCGGAGGCGGACATGTTTAAAGAGGGTTTTGAAGGATGCATAGGAGTTCCATAGGCACAGCAGCTCCGTGCTGCTCCCCCTGGGTTAAGGGCTCCCATCAGTTCTTGCAGGGACTGTCACCTCCCAGGGTGGGCCCACGTCCTTGTCCTTGTCTCTGCCTCCCAGCCTTCCATTACGAGTGCAACAATGATCTGGAGAAACAGGAGTTTGAGAAGGCCCTGGAGACGATCGCTGTGGCCTTCAGCAGCACGTGAGCACGGGAGCCTGTGGGGCAGAGTGAGGGAGCGTTGGGGGCCCGGGTGTCCCTCGATGGTGACCCCCCCCCCGGCCCTGCAGAGTGTCCGAGTTCCTCATGGGTGAAGTGGACAGCAGCACCCTCCTAGCAGTGCCTCCCGGGGACGCAAGCCAGGTGAGTGGGGTGGGCCAGTCACCCTGCTTCCCCTGAGCACCTCGGTCTCCCTGTCTGTCCAGGGTAGTGGGTGGCAACCATCCCCCTCAGGGGCTGGTCTCACCTGCGTCTCTAACCTACAGTCCATGGAAAGCCTGTATGGACCGGGGAGTGAGGGCACCCCTCCCGGCCTTGAGGACTGCGACACTGGTAAGCCCCACCCAGCGGCAGGCGGGCATTCGAGGGGTGGGCAGCTGCGGGGCTGGGCCAGGCTGAGCGGGCCTCGTCCCCTGCAGGCTGCCTGCCCGTCGAGGAGGTGGACGTGCTGCTGCAGCGCTGTGAGGGCGGCGTGGACGCCGCGCTGCTGTATGCTAAGAACATGGCGAAGTACATGAAGGATCTCATCAGCTACCTGGAGAAGCGGACCACGCTGGGTGAGGGCTGCGGGTCCCAGCACGGCGGGCCTGGAGGGGGGCCTCTGGGTGAGCTGGGAAGGCCTGACCCGGCTTCTCACACCCCTCCCTGGCCTGCAGAGATGGAGTTTGCCAAGGGCCTGCAGAAGATCGTTCACAACTGCAGACAGAGCGTCATGCAGCAGGTGGGGGCCCCGTGGGCATGTGGTGGGGGTCCCTGGGCCCGGCTGTGAGTCTCAGCCCCCATTTCAGGCCCCAGGGGCCAAGGCCAGGGGCTTCCCCTCTCTATTAATGGGGGTGGCCGCAGGGACCAGGGAGGTGGTGGCTGGGGATGCTGGGGCTGCCCTGCCTCCATCCCTCCCCACCCCGTGATCCTGCCCCCACCCACAGCCGCACATGCCGCTCCTGTCCATCTACTCGCTGGCCCTGGAGCAGGACCTGGAGTTCGGCCACAGCATGGTGCAGGCCGTGGGCACCTTGCAGACCCAGACCTTCATGCAGGTGGGTGGTGCCTGGGAGGGCGGGCTGGGTGAGGGTGTCTCCAGGGTACCCGCTCACAGCTCCTCTTCCCCCAGCCCCTGACCCTGCGGCGGCTTGAACATGAGAAGCGCAGGAAGGAGATCAAGGAGGCCTGGCACCGTGCCCAGAGGAAGCTGGTGAGGCAGGAGGGAGGGGGCGGGAGGGAGGGAGGGGGGAGGGAAGGAGAGAGGGAGTGGAAGGGGGGAGAGGGCGGGAGGGAGGGATGGAGGGGGCGGGAGGGGGAGGGGGCAGGAGGGAGGGAGGGGGGAGTCCCTCCTCCCTGCAGTCCCAGCAGCCCCCAGCTCTACCTGGGAGGACCCAGGACCCCAGGGCGCACTCTGTGCCTGAAGAAATGGGGAGAAGCCGTGCCTCCCTTGGTTGTGAGCAGCAGGTCCCTGGGTTGGAGGGAGACTGATCCTCCTTCAGGACTAGTGAAGGCTCCATGCTCTGCCTGCATTTTTTTTTTTTTTTTTTTTTCCTTGAGATGGAGTCTTGCTGTGTTGCCCAGGCTGGAGTGCCATGGCGCCATCTCAGGTCACTGCAACTTCTGCCTCCCCAGTTCAAACAGTTCTGCCTTAGACTCCCTAGCAGCTAGGATTACAGGAGCCGTCCACCACACCTGGCTGATTTTTGTTATTTTTAGTAGAGACGGGGTTTCACCATAGTGGTGAGGCTAGTCTTGAACTCCTGACCTCAGTGGGGTTTTTTTGTTTGTTTGTTTGTTTGTTTGTTTGTTTGAGACGGAGTTTCGCTCTTGTTACCCAGGCTGGAGTGCAATGGCGCGATCTCCGCTCACCGCAACCTCCGCCTCCCGGGTTCAGGCAATTCTCCTGCCTCAGCCTCCTGAGTAGCTGGGATTACAGGCACGCGCCACCACGCCCAGCTAATTTTTTGTTTGTTTAGTAGGACGGGGTTTCACCATGTTGACCAGGATGGTCTCGATCTCTTGACCTCGTGATCCACCCGCCTCGGCCTCCCAAAGTGCTGGGATTACAGGCGTGAGCCACCACGCCCGGCCCTGTCACTCAGGCTGGAGTATAGCGATGCAATCATACCTCACTGCAGACTTGACTTCCTGGGCTCAAATGACCCCGAGCTGCTGGGTCTGCAGGCACCAGCCATCATACCCGGCTCATTTTGTGTGCTCACTGTGTTGCCCAGTTTTGTTAGTTTGCACCTTATGTTAACAGGGTCTGGTGAGATGCACCCTCCGAGTTCCTTCCGGTACATACCAGCAAACACACATCTACCCACTTTTGTGCCCCTGAGGACAGCTCCCCTCCTACCCTGTTCTGCTCCTGATTTCTACCCTCACCTCTGTATAGAGAGGCTCACCCCATATCAGTCAACAGGAAGCAGCCTGGACCCCTTTGTTCTGCTGTGCAGGGCTCAGCTCGGGAGGTTGAGTAGCTGATTTCATGGACCTTTAGGGTGTGGCTGAGCTGTGACTGTTACAAACACCATTGCTATGACAAGCTTGTACCCCTGTCTCAAGGATGCCTGAGGGTTTATCTGGGATCAGTGCCCAAAATGGAACTGCTGGGTCAAGGGGCATGCGTGTACAAGTTACCTTGCCAGGACACAGCAGTGCTTTTCCCGTTTCGTGAACCCTCAGTTCCTATCCTTTGCATACTTTGCATTGGACAGTGGTTTATTATTGATTTGTCAGAGCTTTTTACATATTAGGGAACTTAGGCCTTAATGATAGGAGTTTTAGACTCCTAACATACCCCTCCCACATTTATTGTTTGACTTTTGATTTTACCTGTGGCCTCTTTTGCCAGGTAGAAACGTGTGATTGTTAGCAGTAATGACTGTTAGTAGTAGTCGTTTTTTTTTTTTTTTTTCAATCGAGAAACAGTCTTGCTCTGTTGCCCAGGCTGGAGTGCAATGGCTCGATCTCAGCTTACTGCAACTTCTGCCTCCTGGGTTCGAGTAGTTCTCCTGAGTAGCTGGGATTTCAGGCACCCACCACCACACCTGGCTAATTTTTGTGTTTTTAGTAGAGACGGGGTTTCACCATGTCGGCCAGGCTGAGCTTGAGTAGCTAAGACCACAGGTATGCACCACCACGCCCTGCTAATTTTTTTTTTTTTTTTTTTTTTTTTTTTTTTTTTTTTTGGTAGGGATGGGGTTTCACTATGTTGGCCAGGCTGGTCTTGAACTCCTGGCCTCAATGGATCCTCCTGCCTCAGCCTCCCAAAGCACTGGGATTACAGGCGCGAGGCTGGCCATCTCCTAGTAATTGGATGGGTCCGTTTGCTCATGTGTGAATCTGATGGTGCAGGTTGTGAGGTGTGGCCCCGAGCCCACAGGTTTTTGACTAACTGCTCTTCCTGCCAACCTGTGGGTGCGTGGCTTCCTGCCTCGGTGGCTTCTCTGTTCTTGTCTGTGAGGAGGGAAGTGAAAGCAACAGAGCCTGGAGATGCTGGCCTGCTCCCGTGGGGGATGGTGTGGGTGTCTGCGGAGGCTGCCGTGTGTGCCTCTGTTGGGAGCTCAGCTGTGCCTCAGCTTCCTGGGTTGCAGAGCGGGCTCACGAGACACCCATTCCTCCAAGGGTCCCCTCGCTAATGCTTCCACAGAGTCTTGCTCTGTCGCCCTGGCTGGAGTGCAGTGGCTCCATCTCAGCTCACTGCAACCTCCGCCTCCCAGGTTCAAGTGACACTCCTGCCACAGCCTCCTGAGCAGCTGGGATTATAGACGCACACTACCACACCCAGCTAACTTCTGTAGTTTTAGAGATGAGGTTTCACCATGTTGGCCAGGCCAGTCTTGAACTCCTGATCTCGTGATCCGAGGGCTTCAGCCTCCCAAAGTGCTGGGATTACAGGCATTTGCCACCATGCTCAGCAATTTTTTTTTTCTTTCTTTTTTTTTTTTTTTGGAGTCAGAGTTTCACTCTTGTCGCCCAGGCTGGAGTGCAGTGGCGCGATCTTGGCTCACTATACCCGCCTCCCAGGTTCAAGCGATTCTCCTGCCTCAGCCTCCCGAGTAGCTGGGATTACAGACATGCTCCACCACACCCAGCTAATTTTGTATTTTTAGTAGAGATGGGGTTTCTCCACGTTGGTCAGGCCAGTCTTTAACTCTCAACCTCAGGTCATCTGCCCGCCTCGGCTTCCCGAAGTGCTGGGATTACAGGTGGGAGCCATCGTGGCTGGCCTTTTATTTATTTATTTATTTTTGAGATGGAATCTTGCTCTGTTGCCCAGGCTGGAGGGCACAGGTTCAATCTCAGCTCACTGCAACCTCCACCTCCTGGGTTCAAGATATTCTTGTGCCTCAGCCTCCCGAGTAGCTGGGATTGCAGCTGTGTGTCACCACACCCGGCTAATTTTTTTATATTTTGGGTAGAGAGGGGGTTTCACCATGTTGGCCATGTTGAGACAGAGTCTCACTCTTGTTACCCAGGCTGGAGTGCAATGGCGTGATCTCGGCTCACCGCAACCTCCGCCGCCCGGGTTCAGGCAATTCTCCTGCCTCAGCCTCCTGAGTAGCTGGGATTACAGGCACACGCCAGCACGCCCAGCTAATGTTTTGTATTTTTTTTTTTTTTTTTTTTTTGAGACGGAGTTTCACTCTTGTTACCCAGGCTGGAGTGCAATGGCACGATCTCGGCTCACCGCAGCCTCCGCCTCCTGGGTTCAGGCAATTCTCCTGCCTCAGCCTCCTGAGTAGCTGGGATTACAGGCACGCACCACCATGCCCAGCTAATTTTTTTTGTATTTTTAGTAGAGACGGGGTTTCACCATGTTGACCAGGATGGTCTCGATCTCTTGACCTCGTGATCCACCCGCCTCGGCCTCCCAAAGTGCTGGGATTACAGGCTTGAGCCACCGCGCCCGGCCTCTTAATGTTTTGTATTTTTAGTAGAGACGGGGTTTCACCATGTTGACCAGGATGGTCTCGATCTCTTGACCTCGTGATCCACCCGCCTTGGCCTCCCAAAGTGCTGGGATTACAGGCGTGAGCCACCGCGCCCGGCCCTCCTCCCGTTCTTCCATTCTCAATCACTGGGCAGGGTCCTGTGCATGCCCCAGTGGGCCATGGGGTCTTGGTGAGAGAGATGGGGGTGGGGAGGAAGGGAGGAGCAGCGACTGAGTCCTGTCAGAGGACAGGGTTGGAAGTGACCTCCCGGCTCCCGCACCCACAGCAAGAGGCGGAATCGAACCTGCGGAAGGCGAAGCAGGGCTATGTACAGCGCTGCGAGGACCACGACAAGGCCCGCTTCCTCGTGGCCAAGGCAGAGGAGGAGCAGGCTGGCATGGCGCCTGGGGCGGGCGGCACGGTCACCAAGACCCTGGACAAGCGGCGGCGGCTGGAGGAGGAGGCCAAGAACAAGGTGAGGGTCGGTGAGGGTGGGTGGAGGCCGGGCTGGACAGTCCGGAGGAAGAAACCCAGGGGCAGTGGCCACTGATGCTTGGTGTGAAATACACCATCTCCCTAGGCCAGGCGCGGTGGCTCACGCCTGTAATCCAAGTACTTTGGAGGCCAAAGTGGATCACCTGAGGTCAGGAGTTCAAGACCAGCCTGACCAACATGGTGAAACCCTGTCTTTTTTTTTTTTTTTTTTGAGACGGAGTTTCGCTCTTGTTACCCAGGCTGCAGTGCAATGACGTGATCTTGGCTCATTGCAACCTCCGCCCCCTGGGTTCAGGCAATTCTCCTGCCTCAGCCTCCTGAGTAGCTGGGATTACAGGCACGCGCCACCACGCCCAGGTAATGTTTTTTATTTTTAGTAGAGACAGGGTTTCAACATGTTGACCAGGATGGTCTCGATCTGTTGACCTCGTGATCCACCCGCCTCGGCCTCCCAAAGTGCTGGGATTACAGGTGTGAGCCACCACGCCCGGCCCGAAACCCCGTCTTTAAAAAAAAAAAAAAAAAAAATGGAGGTTGCAGTGAGCCACGATCACGCCATTGCACTCCAGCCTGGGTAACAAGAGCGAAACTTTGTCTCAAAAAAAAAAAAAAAGAAAAAGAAAAAAAGAAATTTACCAACTCCCAGCCTTTGTTTTTTTGGATTTTGTTTGTTTTGTTTTGTTTTTGTTTTTGTTTTTTGAGACAGAGTCTCGCTCTGTGGTCCAGGCTGGAGTTCAATGGTGCAATTTCAACTCACTGCAACCTCTGCCTCCTGGGTTCAAGCAATTCTCCTGTCTCAGCCTCCGAAGTAGCTGGGACCACAGGCACGCGCCACCACGCCCAGCTAATGTAGTTGAAACAGGGTTTCACCATGTTGGCCAGGGTAGTCTCGATCTCCTGACCTTGTGATCCACCTGCCTTGGGCTCCCAAAGTGCTGGGATTACAGGCGTGAGCCACTGCACCCAGCTGCTTTTTTTTTTTTTTTTTTGAGACAGAGTCTCGCTCTGTGGCCCAGGTTGGAGTGCAGTGGAGATCTCGGCTCGCTGCAACTTCCTCCTCCCAGGTTCAAACGATTCTCCTGCCTCAGCCTCCTGAGTAGCTGGGATCACAGGCGTGCACCACCATGCCCAGCTAATTTTTTTGTGCTTTTTGTAGGGACGGGGCTTCACCATCTTAATCAGGCTGGTCTTGAACACCTGACCTTGTGATCCACCCACTTCAGCCTCCCAAAGTGTTGAAATTATGGCGTAAGCCACTGCGCCCGGGAGCACCCAGCTAATTTAAAAAAAAATTTTTGGCCGGGCGCGGTGGCTCAAGCCTGTAATCCCAGCACTTTGGGAGGCCGAGGCGGGTGGATCACGAGGTCAAGAGATCGAGACCATCCCGATCAACATGGTGAAACCCTGTCTCTACTAAAAATACAAAAAATTAGCTGGGCATGGTGGCGCGTGCCTGTAATCCCCGCTACTCAGGAGGCTGAGGCAGGAGAATCGCCTGAACCCAGGAGGCGGAGGTTGTGGTGAGCCGAGATCACGCCATTGCACTCCAGCCTGAGTAACAAGAGCGACACTCCGTCTCAAAAAAAAAAAAAAAATTTTTATAGAGACGAGATCTCAGGCTGGGTGCAGTGACTTACACCTGTAATTTTAGCCCTTTGGGAGGCTGAGGTGGGCAGATCATATGAGGTCAGGAGTTAGAGACCAGCTTGGCCAATATGGTGAAACCTCGTCTCTAGTAAAATTACAAAAAATTAGCCGGGCGTGATGGTGGGTGCCGGTGATAGCAGCTGCTCGGGAGGCTGAGGCAGGAGAATTGCTTGAACCCAGAAGACACTGGTTGCAGTGAGTCAAGGTCGTGCTACTGCACTCCAGCTTGGGCAAGAACAGCCAAACTTCGTCTCAAAGAAACAAAAATAAAGAAGGCCAGGTGCAGTGGTTCACACTTGTAATCCCAGCACTTTGGGAGGCCAAGGCGGGTGGATCACAAGATCAGAAGATCGAGACCATCCTGTCTAACACAGTGAAACCCTATCTCTACTAAAAATATAAAAAATTTGGCCGGGCCTGTTGGCTCACGCCTGTAATCCCAGCACTTTGGGAGGCCGAGGCGGGTGGATCACGAGGTCAAGAGATCAAGACCGTCCTGGTCAACGTGGTGAAACCCTGTCTCTACTAAAAATACAAAAAATTAGCTGGGCATGGTGGTGCATGCCTGTAATCCCAGCTACTTGGGAGGCTGAGGCAGGAGAATTGCCTGAACCCCGGAGGCGAAGGTTGCGGTGAGCCGAGATCGCGCCATTGCACTCCAGCCTGGGTAACAAGAGCAAAACTCCGTCTTAAAAAAAAAAAAAAGGAAGAAAGAAAGAAAGAAAAAATTAGCTGGGCATGGTGGCACGTGCCTGTAGTCCCAGCTACTCGGGAGGCTGAGGCAGAACCTAGGAGGTGGAGGTTGCGGTGAGCTGAAATCACGCCACTGCATTCCAGCCTGGGTGACAGAGTGAAACTCAGTCTTAAAAAAAATTAAAAAAAGAAAGAAAAAGACAAAGATAATGTCTGACTGTGTTGCTCAGGCTGGTCTTGAACTCTTGCCTCAAGGGAGCTGGATGACAGGCACGAGCCCAGCCTCCCTGGGAGTTATGTCTCCGTCCTGCACCGCAGGCTGAAGCCTCCCTCTGTGTGCACCCCCGACCCCACCCCAGGCGGAGGAAGCCATGGCCACCTACCGCACCTGCGTGGCCGACGCGAAGACGCAGAAGCAGGAGCTGGAGGACACCAAGGTGACGGCGCTGCGGCAGATCCAGGAGGTCATCCGGCAGAGCGACCAGACCATCAAGTCGGTGCGTGGGGGGCTCCGGCCGCCCTGCAGTGACGGCGGACAGGCCAGCCCCCTCCTGACCCCGCCGCTCTTGGGTGCCCCCTGCAGGCCACCATCTCCTACTACCAGATGATGCACATGCAGACGGCGCCCCTGCCCGTGCACTTCCAGATGCTGTGTGAGAGCAGCAAGCTGTACGACCCCGGCCAGCAGTACGCCTCCCACGTGCGCCAGCTGCAGCGGGACCAGGAGCCCGACGTCCACTATGACTTTGAGCCGCACGTCTCCGCCAACGCCTGGTACCACCACCCAGCTGCCCGGTCCCCGGTGCCCACGTCCCTGCCTGGGAGCCGGGCTTCCCTCCATTGGGGGCATGAGGATGAAGCCGCCTTGTCCCCCATCACCACCCCTCTTTCTCCCCATTTCCCCCACTAGGTCCCCCATCATGCGTGCCCGGAAGAGCAGCTTCAACGTGGGTGATGTGGCGGGGGCTGAGGCTGCAGGCAGCCCCCCAGATGAAGGTGGCTCCATTGAGGGCGTGCCTGCCAAAGACCACAGGGGTGAGTGGCAGGGCCCAGGGGTGGGGTGGACGCTGGCTCCCTGTGGCCCACTCTGGCATTTCACCAAAGATGCCTCTTTCTCCAGCCGGGCGAGGACACCAGGTACACAAGTCCTGGCCGCTTGCCATCTCAGACTCGGACACCGGGCTGGACCCCGGCCCTGGCGCAGGTGAGGGAGGCACTCAGGCGGGCTGCGGTGTGGAGCTGCCATCTCTCTTGGGCCTCAGGGGTTCATCACGCAACGGAGGCGATGGAGGGGGCCCACCTGGCTCAGGGAGTCTGATCGACACTGACTCTCGCTCAGGGGACTTTAAGAAGTTCGAGCGGACATCATCCAGTGGCACCATGTCATCCACGGAGGAGCTGGTGGACTCAGAGCGGGGACCCACAGCTTCGGCCTTCGAGCAGGGTGAGGGTCCCCTGACGGGGCCAGGGAGATGGGGGGTTTGGACACAGTCGACTGGCCTGGGCCTGACCTGCCTTGGTGACACGGGCCGCCTGTGCTGCCCACAGCTGACCTCAATGGCATGACCCCCGAGCTGCCGGTGGCCGTGCCCAGTGGGCCATTCCGCCACGAGGGGCTGTCCAAGGCAGCCCGAACCCACCGGCTCCGGAAGCTCCGCACACCTGCCAAGTGCCGTGAGTGCAACAGCTACGTCTACTTCCAGGGTGCGGAGTGTGAGGAGGTGAGCGCGACATCCCAGTGGACAGCGGGGAGGCTCGGAGGTGCCCAGCACCACCAGCCTGTGTGCCCTCAGGAAGGTCCTGCCCAGAGCAGGGAGCAGTCAAGAGCCTTTGGGAGGAAGCTAACGGAAGGGGTAGGGTGGGCTCTTTTAGGTTTGGGGGCAGGGTTGGCCCTCTGAGGCATCGAGGCAGTGGGTAGAGCCAGAGAGTAAAGCACCCGCAGGGCATCTGGGGATTGCATCACAGGCCGCGGCCACAGCCTGTGCAAAGGCCCTGTGGGGCTCAGGCCAGCAAGCCAAGGGTGGGAGGGGAAGGAGAGGAGGCTGGAGTGGCCGGTGGGATCACCCCTGGGGAGGAAGCCACTTTTCACTGTCTAGCTTGTGTTTGCAGAAGCTGCCGTTTGGTGGCTGTGAGGGGCCCGGGGTAGGTGGGTGGAGCCGGGCACCCTGGGGCTTCGCTCACTCACTCCAGCCGCCCCCAGTGCTGCCTGGCCTGCCACAAGAAATGCCTGGAGACGCTGGCCATACAGTGCGGGCACAAGAAGCTGCAGGGCCGCCTGCAACTGTTTGGACAGGAATTCAGCCAGGCGGCCCGAAGTGCCCCCGACGGTGTGCCCTTCATCATCAAGAAGTGCGTATGCGAGATCGAACGGCGGGCGCTGCGCACCAAGGTGAGGCAGGGTGGAGGTGGCTCCCAGCAGGGAGGCGGGCGTGGGCTGAGGCTGATGGGCCCCCCACCCCCGTGCCCCTGCAGGGCATCTACCGGGTCAATGGGGTAAAGACGCGCGTGGAGAAGCTGTGCCAGGCCTTCGAGAATGGCAAGGAGCTGGTGGAGCTGTCGCAGGCTTCACCCCACGACATCAGCAACGTCCTGAAGCTCTACCTGCGCCAGGTGAGACCCACTGGAGCGGCCTTGCCGAGCTTGGAAGCGGGGGAGGAGGTGGTCGTGGGGGCCCGGAGCTGCTGCAAATTTGTCTATGCACCAGGCCTGGAGGAGGTGGGCGGTACAGCGTCTGGCGGGTTGCGGCTGAGGCTGGGTGCGTGGTCAGGGCAAGAGCGGGGCGGGGCCTGATCTGTGCACGGGCCCGGACAGGGACTGGAGCTGGGTGGGCCGCGTGGGAGAGGCGTGGCTGTGGCAGTAGCACATCCGACTGACGTGCTGGGGCGGGGCCAGAGGTCGGTGGGGCGTGGCTAGAGCGGGATAGGCATGTGCGGTGCTTGGCAGGAACCCCGAGGAGGGTAGGGGCCGGGCCGAGGCTAGGCAGATACAGGGCTGGGGGTGGGACCTGAGCCTAATGGGGCGTGGCTGGGTCAGGGTGTGATCAGGTCTTTGCAGGGGCGGGGCTGGGGCTAGGGGAGTGGGCAGGAGCGGTTAAGGGTGGGCTAGGGGCGTGGTCATGGGTGAGGAGGGCGGGGCTGGGACTGGGGGCGTGGTCACTGCGGGGAGAATCGGGCTAGGGGCGTGGTCACGGCCACGGAAGGACCCCGACTGGTAGGGGAAGTGGTCATAGGTGGGAAAGGGCGGAGCTGGTCTGGGGGCGTGGTTGTGGGTGGGAAAAGGTGGGGCTGGTGTTGGGCATGGTTGTGGGTGGGGCGTGGGCGTGGTCACGGCCACGGAAGGACAGGGGCTGGTATTGGGGGGTGGTCATAGGTGGGAAAGGGCAGGGCTGGTCTGAGGGCGCGGTTGTGGGCGGGGTGGGGGCGTGGTCATGGCCACGGAAGGACAGGGGCTGGTATTGGGGGAGTGGTCAAGGGTGGGAAAGGGCGGAGCTGGTCTGGGGGCGTGGTTGTGGGTGGGGAAGGGCGGGGCTGGTCTTGGTCGTGGTTGCGGGCGGGGTGGGGCGTGGTTATGGGCTGGGCTGGGCTGGGCTGGGAGCGGGACCAGCACTTCGCAGGTGGTGGGGAAAGGGTCAGAATAGAGCACGAGCTGAATAGAGCACGAGCTTCTTGGGATACCGTCAGGGCAGGGTGGGCGTGGGCAGTGCGAGGAAAGGGCTGGGATGGGGCGTGGCCCGGGTAGGACGGCCAGAACTCATGCTGGTTGGGACAGGGGACAGACGCTGCACCGGGTGGAACCCACTGCACCGGGTGGAACCCACTGCACCGGGTGGAACCCACTGCACCGGGTGGAACCTGTGCTCGTGGAGCGTCGTCAGCACTTGGTGGGGATGAGGCTGAGGGTGGGAGTGTGGCTGGCACACGGGAGGGCCGGGCCAGGCTATCAACCCCAGCTGACCCTTTGCTCTTCGCAGCTGCCGGAGCCACTCATCTCTTTCCGCTTCTACCACGAGCTCGTGGGGCTGGCCAAGGACAGCCTGAAGGCGGAGGCCGAGGCCAAGGCGGCGACCCGGGGCCGGCAGGATGGCTCGGAGAGCGACGCAGCGGTGGTGGCCATGGCAGGTCGGTTGCGGGAGCTCCTGCGGGACCTGCCGCCAGATAATCGGGCCTCGCTGCAGTACCTGCTGCGGCACCTACGCAGGTGAGGCTCGGTGCACGGGGTGGAGGGTGCAGGGTCCCGGGAGCTGCTCAGCACCTGGCCCTGCCCGCCCTGCAGGATCGTGGAGGTGGAGCAGGAGAACAAGATGACTTCCGGGAACCTGGGCATCGTGTTCGGGCCCACGCTGCTTCGGCCACGGCCCACCGAGGCCACCGTGTCCCTCTCCTCCCTGGTGGACTACCCCCACCAGGCCCGCGTCATCGAGACCCTAATCGTGCACTATGGCCTGGTCTTCGAGGATGAGTCGGAGGAGACCCCCGGGGGCCAGGTGAGGGTGTGGGCCTGAACAGGGCTGTCTACTCGGGGCTGGGGGTCAGGGGCGCACTGCTGGGGACACTAGTTGTGGGATGAGGCCCAGGGAACCACTGGGAGATAGTTTGGAGGCCTGTGTGTTTTTGTGTCTTTTATGTAAAGAACTGGGCGAGGTCTGCATTGACTCTAGCGGAGGTGCAAAGGCCCTGCGTTGGCCCCTCCACTGTCCACAGGAGCTGGCATCAGGCCTCATCCTCCAGCCACAGCCCCCTTCCCCATAGCCCACCCCGGTGCTGCCTGCAGTCACAAGCTCTCCACTGGCCCAGGTGTCCACAGCCCTCCCGAGCCACCACTGCACTCTGCTGCTACGTCAGTTCCCCGCTTCAGATTCTTTTTTTTTTTTTTTTGAGACGGAGTTTCGCTCTTGTTACCCAGGCTGGAGTGCAATGGCGCGATCTCGGCTCACCGCAACCTCCGCCTCCTGGGCTCAGGCAATTCTCCTGCCTCAGCCTCCTGAGTAGCTGGGATTACAGGCTCGTGCCACCATGCCCAGCTAATTTTTTGTATTTTTAGTAGAGACGGGGTTTCACCATGTTGACCAGGATGGTCTCGATCTCTCGACCTCGTGATCCACCCGCCTCAGCCTCCCGAAGTGCTGGGATTACAGGTTTAAGCCACCGCGCCCGGCTTTTTTTTTTTTTTGAGAGAGAGTTTCGCTCTTGTTGCCCAGGCTGGAGTGCAATGGCGTGATCTCGGCTCACCACAACCTCCACCTCCTGGGTTCAGGCAATTCTCCTGCCTCAGCCTCCCGAGTAGCTGGGATTACAGGGACGAGCCACCATGCCCAGCTAATTTTTTGTATTTTTAGTAGAGACGGGGTTTTAACATGTTGACCAGGATGGTCTCAGTCTCTTGACCTCGTGATCCACCCGTCTCGGCCTCCCAAAGTGCTGGGATTACAGGCTTGAGCCACCGTGCCAGGCCTATTTTCTTTCTTTCTTGAGCTTCTTTGAAACTGGTTTTGCTCTGTGGCCCAGGCTGTAGTGCGGTGGAGCCATCACGGCTCACCGCAGCCTCCAACTCCTGGGCTCTGGTGATCCTCCTGGTAGCTAGGACCACAGGTGTGCTGCACTACCACACCTGGCTAATTTTTGTGATTTATTTATTTTTTTTGTAGAGACCGGGCCTCGCTGTGTTGTCCAGGGTAGCGATGAACTCCTGGGCTTAAGGGATTGTCTTGCCTTTACCTCCCGAAGTGCTGGGATTACAGGCGTGAACCACTGCACCCAGCCTCTTGGAGTTACTTTATCTCATTTCTTAGCAGCATCTCCATCCCTTCTCCTGATTTCAGGTCCTCGTTTTTTTTGTTTGTTTTTTGGAGTTGGAGTATCGCTCTGTCGCCCAGGCTGGAATGCAGTGGTGTCATCTCTTACCTCAGCCTCCCAAGTAGCTGGGATGACGGGCACACACTGCTATGCCCTGCTAATTTTCTGTATTTTGTTTGAGATGGGGTTTCAGTGTGTTGCCCAGGGTGGTCTCTACTCCTAAGCTCAGGCAATTTGCCCGCCTCAGCCTCTCAAAGTGCTAGGATTACACATGTGAGCCACCATGCCTGGTCAGGTCCTCGTATTTTTTTCTTCCTTTCTTTAAGGGAGTATCTGTTGCACTCTCGGGAGTGCTATGGCACAATCTTGGTTCACTGCAGCTTCTGCTTCCCGAGTTCAAGTGATTTTCCTTCCTCAGCCTCCTGAGTACCTGGGACTACAGGCTCACACCACTACACCCAGCTAATTTTTCTATTTTTAGTAGAGAGAGGGTTTCACTTTGTTGGCCAGGCTGGTCTTGAACTCCTGATCTCAAGTGGTACCCTGTCCTTGGCCTCTCAAGTAGCTGGGATTACAGGCACGTGCCACCATGCCCAGCTAATGTTTTGTATTTTTAGTAGACACGGGGTTTCACCATGTTGACCAGGATGGTCTCGATCTCTTGACCTCGTGATCCACCCGCCTCGGCCTCCCAAAGTGTTGGGCTTACAGGCGTGAGCCACCGCGCCCGGCTGCTATTGGATTTTTAAATCTGTCTTCCAGTATCCAGTATCTCTGGGTGTTAGGAGCTACAGTTTCCTCTTGGCTGAGGACGGACCCCCTGAGGTGTAGTCTCAGCACAGCGGTGCATGAAGCTCTGACAGTGTTGATGCCGAGTCCAGCCTTCCCGTCCCGTGCTCCTGTTGAATGAGATCTTGGGAGAAACCCCAGATGGGTTGGGGACAGGAGACAGGTCTTGAGAGGAGCGGACTTTCAGAAATGCCGGGCCCCTGTACCTCCTCGGAACGGCCAGTGTTTTCACAGCCTGGGCAGCAGCAGGTGTCAGTCGCTGTTAGGGGCTGTGTGCGCTTGTTACTTTACAACATGGAACATGGAGCCCCAGCCCCTCCCTGACTTCTGATCTGCCCTTGCAGGACGAGGCATGCAATCAGCAGGCCGAGGTGGTCGTCCAGGTGCAGCACCTGGAGGCAGGCGAGGGGATGGCGTACCCTTTCCCAGAGGCAGCGGAAGACGGGGCCGGAGGTGAGTGTGTGGGTGCCCGAGCAGCCCCAAAGGAGCTGTGTGGCACCCATGGGCACAGGTGCCATGACCCAGTTGTGTACACGTTGCCTCTGCCCGGTCTGTGGATTTTGTCTGCAATGGAGTCCACACCTCTGAGCTATTCGCCTTCCTTTAACCTCCTGCAAACACACGCAAGGCGGTACCTTTTGAGGCGCCTACCCCAACGCGAACATGGGGCTGATGCCTGTTTGAGGCTCCAGGTGCGCCAGCCACGGGCCGGGTTAAGTGCCTTTCCCAAGGGAGCCTCATTGTCTAGGGAAGGGCCCGGGGCCAGGGATTTGACCCAGGTGGGGCTGGCATCACTTGTCAGAGGTGGCTGGGCCTCTAGTTACAGGACACCTGTTTTAGTTTTCCCGCTGCTGATAGACACAGCTGAAACGGGCAATTTACAAGAGAGATGTTTAATGGACTCACAGCTCCATGTCGTTGGGGAGGCCTCAAATACACGATGGAAGGCGATGAGGAGCAAGTCACATCTTGCGGGGATGGCGGCAGGCCCAGAGAGCCGGTGCCAGGACACTTTTTTTCCCCTCCTGTAGTCTGGCTCGTTGCCCAGAGGGCAGTGGCTCCATCTTTGCTCACTTCCACCTCTGACCCCAGGGTTCAAACAATTCTCCTCCCTCAGCCTCCCGAGCAGCTGGGATTACAGGAGCTGCCCCATGTTCTGGACAGTCTCCCTCTGTCTCCGGGCTGGAGTGCGGTGGCGCAATCTCGGCTCACTACAAACTGCACCTCCAGAGTTAAAGCAATTTCCCTGCTTCGGCCTCTGGAACAGCTGGGACTGAGGCCCACACCACCACGCCCGGCTTTTTTTTTCTTGTATTTTAGTGATGGGGTTTCACCAAGTTGTCCAGGATGGTCTCCATCTCCTGACATCGTGATCCCCACCCACCTTGCCCTCACCAAGTGCTGGGATTACAGGCATGAACCACAGTGCCACGCCTAATTTTTGTATTTTGGGCAGAGATAGGGTTGGCCAGGCTGGTTTCAAACTCCCGACCTCAGGTCATCTGCCGAAGTGCTGGGATTACAGGCATAAGCCACGACACCTGGCCATGCCCAACTATTTTTGCATTTTTAGCAAAGGTGGGGTTTTAGCATGTTGGCCAAACTCCTGACCTAGGCCAGGCGTGGTGGCTCAAGCCTATAATCCCAGCACTTTGGGAAGCCAAGGCGGGTGGATCACGAAGTCAAGAGATCGAGACCATCCTGGTCAACATGGTGAAACCCCATCTCTACTAAAAATACAAAAAATTAGCTGGGTGTGGTGGCACGTGCCTGTAATCCCAGCTACTCAGGAAGCTGAGGCAGAATTGCCTGAACCCAGGAGGTGGAGGTTGCGGTGAGCTGAGATCGTACCACTGCACTCCAGCCTGGGTAACAAGAGCGAAACTCCGTCTCAAAAAAAAAAAAAAAAAAAAAAAAAAAAAAAAAAAAAAAAAACTCCTGCCCTAGTGATCTGTCCACCTGGGCCTTCCAAAACTCTGGGATTACAGGTGTGAGCCACTGCACCAGGCCGGGAGACTCTTGTTTTTTGAGATGGAGTCTAGCTCTGTCGCCAGGCTGGAGTGCTAATGGCGTGACCTGGGCTCACTCCAACGTCCACCTCCCAGGTTCAAACAATTTGCCTCAATCTCCTGAGTAGCTAGGGTTACAGGCAGTTCTATCATGCCTAGTTCTTGTATTTTTAGTAGAAATAGGGTTTTACCACGTTGGCCAGGCTGGTCTTGATTTCATGACCTGGCGATCCACCCACCTCAGCCTCCCAAAGTGCTGGATGTCCAGCATGAGCCACCGCACCCCGGCTCCAGTTTTTAAAGACTACCAGATCTTGTGAGACTTAGTATCATGAGAACAGCACGGGACCTGCCCCACGACTGAACCATTTCCCACCAGGCAGGAGTCATGGGAGCTCCAGGATGAGACTTGGGTCAGACTCGGAGCCAGACCGTATCAACACTCCTCTCCTTCCTCTGCTGTTTCTCATCAGTCTCTCCCTCCGTCTCCCTTCCTCAGAACCCCGAGTTGTGTCCAACGACTCTGACTCGGACCTGGAGGAGGCCTCCGAGCTGCTGTCCTCGTCGGAGGCCAGTGCCCTGCGCCGCCTCAGCTTCCTGGAGCAGCACCAGCACGAGGCCAGCCTGGAGGAGGCTTCTGGCAGTCACAGTGGGAGCGAAGAGCAGCTGGAGGCCGTGGCCAGGGAGGACGAGCACGGGGACGACGAGGGCCCAGCTCTGAAGCTCTCAGGGTTCAACACCAACCAGTCTAACAACGTGCTGCAGGCCCCACTGCCCACCATGAGGCTCCGCGGTGGGCGGATCGCACTGGGCTCCTGCAGGGAGAGGCGGCCAGAGTTCGTCTGAGCTGGGGTGGGACCAGGACCACGGGTGGCTGCTTCTCCCGCAGGCTCCTGTCCCTCCGCCTCCAGTGTCCCAGCCCCGTGGCACAGCTCAGCTGCGCCATCCTGGGGGTGCTGCCTGCTTCCAGGAGCATGAGGCCATGGGGCTGTCTGTGGAGCATGCCCTGCACGCCTTTCCACCCAGGCAGGCCTGGCTCAGCCGAGCTGGGGGATCACTGCTGTCTTGTCAAGTCGCTGGCCTTGGTGGTGCCCATGGGGCTGCATGGATGAAGGACGGAGAGCCTGCCCTCCTCACAGGTCTGTTGCAGGGACTGGGCATACCGAAGCCATTCTGGGAGCCTCGAATGGGGGCGGAGGCTAGGGCTTGGAGAGGTGTCAAGGGTGCATTACAGCAGGCCCTAGGCTCCCTTTTCTAGAAAGCCAGGTATGGCCACCTGGGGCTTAGGTACACTGGGGTCTCCAAGCAACTGTGGAGTTATCTCACAGGCACGTTTATTTTGCTGGAATAAAGTTTCTAATTGGGTCTGTTCTCTGGGGCAGCTGCAACCTTGGCAGAAGGGACCAGGGAGAAGACACAGAGGGCCCCACAGTAGGGAGGTGTGAGGAAAAGTCAATGCCACAGGCCCAATAAGGAGCTGAGGGGAGGGAAGATGAGGGGTGGGAGGCTGAGCGCCCAGGAAGCAGCAGTGGCTGGTGGGAGACAGACCCCAAGCCAGGGGACTCTGCACAGTCTAGGCGCAGACCTGGGGCACCAAGTGACCTCCCTGGGGGAGGGGCGGGGGTTCTGGTTCCTCTGAGGCCATATCTGGCATGAATCCACAGGAAGCCTCACCCCATGATAGGAGAATCTGGGTGGGAGCTGCCTGCCCTGGGGAGTCCAGAGGAGCAGCAGCAAAAAGAGCTGGGGGGGCTGGACTCCAGCAGAGGCATCCTCCTGCAAGTGACCAGGTCACTGTCCATGTGGCCGCCTCTAGGGGCTAGGAAAGGGGAGGAAGGTGGTCTTAGGAGGGGTGCAGATACAGTCTGCCCAGGACAGCCTGACACCCACTGCTGAGCAGGAGGGGGTGCAGGAGGCCCAGGCCGCAGTGCAGAGGCAGGGTGGTCACACAGGTGTGGGCAGTGACTCTGACTTTAAAGGAACCGGGCCAAAGTCAGACCTAGCTAAGCCCCATCCCTGGTCTGAGTGCAATGTGTGGCAGCCTGCCCAAGCAACACCTCTGGCGTGGGTCAGCTGGGAGGTCCTCAACAAGGACAGATGCTGTCCAGCTCCTGGGACTCAGGCCAGTCCCTCCCCAGGTGCCCACTCACGTAAGGGTTGGCCTGAAGCCACCCTTCCTGTCTGACCACTGGGGTCTCTGGGCACGTTTCTAAACCCTATTCTGTGGCCAGGTGGGGACTGGGGTGCCCTGATGGCCCAGTGCTGGGTGGGGCCTGCTGTGGGGACAAAGCCAGAACACCCCTGCACCCCAACAGAGGGGACGACAGCCCCATACCTGACCCCACAGCCGGTACCTGCACAGGGTGGCGGCTACTGCACCAGCCGGTAGGTGATGTACCTGCCGGCAGTCTCGCTGGGCCGGATGATCTTCACCACCTGCGGAGGCAGGAAACAGGGGCTGAGGGCACTGCGGGGGGGCCTCACTGCGGCGAGGCAGCAGGCGGGGAGCACAGCAGCTGGGGAGGGCCAGCCGGGGCCCGAGATGCCGACCCTGGGGTCATGCTGTTCTCTGGGCCGTGTCGAGGGTGAGGGGCGGATGGAGGGGCCAGAAGCCCCTGCTGCCCAGTGGTCAGCACAGAGCCGCCCCAGGGCCCTTCTCCTGAAGGCTTACCTGGCCACGCTTTATCCCGAAGTATCGAGCCACGGGGTCTCCCGCCTGGATCCTGGGCAGCTGGTTCTCTCGGAGCTTACTAGGAAGCAGGATCAGGAAAACGCCAGGTGGGGCTGTGGGGGGTGAGGGGTGGGGCCGTGGGGGGCGACATGGAAATCCAGAGGCACAGGTAGGGCAGAGGCTGGAAAGGATACTATCGGGCCAGCAGCTCCGTCACTTCTTCCTTGGTCATGACGACGTGCTCGGGGACCAGCTGCCAAGAGAGAAGGCCACCAGACATCACCAAGGGCTGGGCTAGACCCTATGGTGCTCTAGGGCACCACCACCGCCCCTGAGCCACCAACCCAGCACTCGGGGAGCCTACCCCGCCCCACCTCGGCTCCACAAGTGGGGTGGAGTCTGCAGGAGCACAGCTCCCGGAGCTTCTGAAGTAGATGGGCTGGGGCACCGTCACCTCCTTCTGAGACTCCTGCTGGGTCGGTGGCACTAGGGTCCCTCCGCACCCACCAAAGTCCCTGTTCCACAGGGCCTGGGACCCTGATTTTTTTTTTTTTTTCTTTTCTCTCCTGAGACGGAGCTGTGCTCTGTTACCCAGGCTGGAGTGCAGTGGCGAGATCTCAACTCACTGCAATCACCTCCTCCCAGGTTCAAACAGTTCTCTGCCTCAGCTTCAAGAGGAGATGAGACTATAGGCGTGTCACCACGCCCAGCTAATTTTTTGTATTTTTAGTAGAGACAAGATTTCACCATCTTGGCCAGGCTGATCTTGAACTGCTGACCTTGTGATCCACCCACCTCGGTCTCCCCAAGTGCTGGGATTACAGGCCTGAGTCACTGAGCCCAGCGGGAGCCTGTATTTCTAGGAAGTTCTCGGGTTCAGCTGCTGCAGGCCCAGGGCCACCCTTTGAGGACCCTGCCTTCCATGTGCTAGCAGGAGTGCCAGCCCCTGAGCCCCATATCCCATATCTTCCTTGTCACCTGCAAATCCTGCATCTCTGTACCCCAACAGGTGGGGCTCCGGGGCAGGGCACCCACCTCGTGCTCTGTGATGTTGATGAGCAGCTCCTGCTGCAGAAACTGCTCCAGGATGTACTTGGGAGCCATGTCAACCAGTGACTGGAAGAGAGAGAGACTCAGACACGGCCAGGAGGGGCCCTGACAACCCCAACTCCATTTCCTACCTCAGGCTATGGGCAGCTTACTCGCGTGCCTCAACAAACCCCATGTCCTAAATCAGAACCCCAACCACCAGCTCAGGGGCCTTCAAGAGTCCACCCCTCCCTGGCCTCTTCGCTCATCCCAAGGGCCTCCTGTCACAAGCAGTGAGGAGGCTGTGTTTCCACCCGTCAAGATGCTTCTGTGGGCAGCCCTCAGAGTGGGCACAGCAACCTCTTCCCAATACAAAGCCCGGTGAGCCAGAGACCAAGCTGCTCCACCGACTGCCCATCCCAGCACAGCAGCCTGGCTCATGGTGCCTGACAGACAGATGGGGAATATGGAGGCTCAGGAGTGTCCAACAGACAGATGGGAACACGACAGGCCCTGGGGGACCCGTGCCAGGCCTCCTCAGCACATCCCCCCGGACATCAGCTCAAGACAAAGTCTCCGGGTCCTGGAGGGCACACCAGGCCAAGGACTGGAGCCCACAGGAGCTGGAGAGTGAGGCAAGGTGCCCTCTGCTCTGATGCCCTCCTAAGAGCCAGGGGAGGATGGTGGCTGCCTGGGACGGGGCTGGGGTTCAGCACTGCGGCCCGTGGACAGGGTGGGTGACAGTCAGGGCTGGCCAGACATCAGCCACATCCTCCAGGGCACCCTGGCTGGTGTGGCCCAAGGCATGTGGGCCACCTGCTGGCACCGCCCAGGGGAGGCTGGGGAGGGTGAGGGGCTGGTGGGGGTGGGGGTGGGGCACGCACCTGCTTGGCGGAGGGCGTCATCCCCTGCTGCACCACGATGAGGGCCCGGGTGATGTTCTCCTCCTGCATGCGCTGGCAGTACACCTTGATGGTCTTGATGCCTACCTTGGGCTCCTCTGTGGACAAAGTACGCTGGCCTGTACCACCCTGTGCCCTCTCGGCCCTTGCCCACCTGGACCCCAGAGCACCTGGTTCCGGCCCCACTTAGCACAGAGCACCCGGGTCCCAGCTCCACTCAGCACAAAACACCTGGGTCCCAGCCCCACTCAGCACAGAACACCTGGGTCCCAGCTCCACTCAGCACAGAGTGTACGAGTTCCAGCCCCACTTGGCACAGAGTGTCCAAGTTTCAGCCCCACTCGGCACAGAGTGTCCGAGTTCCAGCTCCACTCAGCACACAACATCTGGGTCCCAGCTCCACTCAGCACAGAGCACCCGGGTCCCAGCCCCACTCAGCAAAGAGCACCCGGGTCCCAGCCCCACTCAGCACAGAGTGTCCGAGTTCTAGCCCCACTCAGCACAGAGTGTCCGAGTTCCAGCCCCACTCAGCACAGAACACCCGGGTCACAGCCCCACTCAGCACAGAGCACCCGGGTCCCAGCCCCACTCAGCACAGAGTGTCCGAGTTCCAGCCCCACTCAGCACAGAACACCTGGGTCACAGCCCCACTCAGCACAGAGCACCTTAGTCCCAGCACCACTCAACAAAGGGGTCTCTCCCGCTTGGGCCTCAGTTTCCACGTTTGCAAAACATGGCCTGAGTTGCAGAATCCTAGGACCAGGGAAGAGAGGACTGATACCTCCCATTCACCAAGAGACTAGGACAGGAGGACAGGGGCCTGACACCCCTCAGTCACCCAGTGACCAGGGAGTGAGGCAGAGACCTTTGATACTGAGCGGCTCCACCCCAGGCACTTCTGGGGAGGCAGGTGACTCGGCACCAACCTCTCCAACAAGCACCCCTCACACCTGAGGACACTCTCTTTAAGAAGCATCACTGGCCGGGCGCGGTGGCTCAAGCCTGTAATCCCAGCACTTTGGGAGGCCGAGGCGGGTGGATCACAAGGTCGAGAGATCGAGACCGTCCTGGTCAACAAGGTGAAACCCCGTCTCTACTAAAAATACAAAAAAGTAGCTGGGCATGGCGGTGTGTGCCTGTAATCCCAGCTACTCAGGAGGCTGAGGCAGGAGAATTGCTTGAATCCAGGAGGCGGAGGTTGCGGTGAGCCGAGATCGTGACATTGCACTCCAGCCTGGGTAACAAGAGCGAAACTCCGTCTCCAAAAAAAAAAAAAAAGGTAGCGTCACTGGAGGCCACGCGCAGTGACTCACTCCTGTAATCCCAGCCCTTTGGGAGGCCGAGGCAGATGGATCAATTGGGGCCAGAAGTTCAGGACTACCCTAGCCAACATGGCGAAACTGTCTCTAGTAATACAAAAAAAAAAAAACTAGCCAGCTGAGGTGGTGTATGCCTGTAATCCTAGCTTCTTGACAGACTGAGGTGGTAGAATCACTTACACCCAGGATGTGGAGCTTGCAGTGAGCTGAGATTGCTCCACTACACACTCCAGCCCAGGTGACAGCAAAACTTCATCTCAAAACAAAAAAGAGGCCGGGCACGGTGGCTCAAGCCTGTAATCCCAGCACTTTGGGAGGCCGAGGCGGGTGGATCATGAGGTCAAGAGATCGAGACCATCCTGGTCAACATGGTGAAACCCCGTCTCTACTAAAAATACAAAAAATTAGCTGGGCATGGTGGCGCGTGCCTGTAATCCCAGCTACTCAGGAGGCTGAGGCAGGAGAATTGCCTGCACCCAGGAGGTGGAGGTTGCGGTGAGCCGAGATCACGCCACTGCACTCCAGCCTGGGCAACAAGAGCGAAACTCCGTCTAAAAAAAAAAAAAAAAAAGAAAAAGAAAAAAAAAAAAAAGGCAGGGTGCACTGGCTCACACCTGCTTACACCTGTAATCCGAGCACTTTGGGAGGCCAAGGCATGTGGATCACCTGAAGTTGGGAGTTCAAGACCAGCCTGACCAACATAGAGAAACTCTGTCTCTATTAAAAATACAAAATTAGCCAGATGTGGTGACAGGTACCTGTAATCCCAGCTACTAGGGAGGCTGACTCAAGAGAACTGCTGGAACCCAAGAGGCAGAGGTTGAGCCTGGGTGCCTAGGTGACAGAGCAAGACTCCGTTTAAAAAAAAAAAAAGCCTCACCAGGACCACTAAGCAGACACGCTCTGATTCTAGGTGCTGGGCTGTGCACCTAATGCTCTATCAGTCCCCCAACCTCAGGGGGCTTTAGAGCCACACTGGGGAGGCAGACAGGTGACTTCCACAGAGAAGGTGTTGACACCAAGTGTCCCAGGGGACCCAGGAAAAGAGGCCCCAGCACAATCTTGAGGGACAAAAAGCAAACGCTGACAGGGAGGAGGATGGGGTGCAGAGGAATGGGCTGGGTCGGGTTAGGGCCACAGCTCACAAAGGCTGCTCTGACCTGGATAGGGCCTCCTAGGCCAGGCCAAGAAGCTGGAAGTGCACCCAGTGGCCAGGATGGGGGAGCTGAGGGACACAGATACTTCAAAGGTCATGGGGGGCTGGGGTAAGTGGGGAGGCCCATGTGATGATCCTGGTTGGAGGAAATGGTCAGGGAAGAGAGAAGGGGACTGGTAAGAGGGAAACTAGAAAGATGCTGCATCAGAGCGGTCAGAGGTTAACAGTACCACCCCAAGCAAGGAAGGGGAGGGGAGCCTTCCTCCCAGACTGGGCAGGAGGCAGGTGCTGGCGGCTTGCTCCTCAGCCGGCACTGCTCACCTGGAAAGAACACAAACATCTGGTCGGTGGGGTCATCGTTGTGTGCCACCAGCACGGTGAGGTCTGTTCGCCGCGGCCGCCCCTCGCTCGGCTTGTCCCCAAACTGGGCTTTGAACTCCTCCAGCGTCTGGTCAAGCTCATCCTGGGTCACTAAGTAGCCACGGTCATGGCATAGCTGCAGAAAGAAAGCCAGCCAGCTGGCCAGGTGTGGTGGCTCACGCCTGTAACCCAAGCACTTTGGAGGCCAAGGCGGGCGGATCACCTGAGGTCGGGAGTTCAAGACCAGCCTGACCAACATGGTGAAACCCCCGTATTCAAAAAAAATAAAATAAAATAAAATAAAATAAAAAGCCAGCTGACCTCAGGGCAGACTGAGGAAGGGGGCCAGATCTTGTGACCCACAAGTCAGACCTGCAGTTGCTGCAGAGGACAGAAGGCTGAACCCTCATGTGTGCCGGTGACAGCCACCCTGCCCACCACAGCCACACCACAGGATGGGACTAGTGTGATCCTGAGAGGCCAGCAAAGGTGTCCAGCCCAGGCTCACAGGAACCTGGCAGGGAACAAACCTGGCAACCACAGCCCTCCAGACCACTTTTCAGAGCTACCCTAAAGGCAGGGGGCCGGGTTGGGGAAGGCCCAGCTCGGGGGCTCAGAATCGTGATCTCAGTGCTTAGGGAGGCTGAGGCAGGACGACTGCTTAAGGCCAGGGATTCGAGAATGCAGCGAGCTATGACTGCAGCAGTGCACTTTAGCCTGAAAGACAGAGGAAGACACTGTCTCTTTAAAAAAAAAAAGAAAAAGAAAAAGGACCAGACGCGGTGGCTCACGCCTGTAATCCCAGCACTTTGGGAGGCCGAGGCGGGTGGATCACGAGGTCAAGAGATCGAGACCATCTTGGCCAACATGGTGAAACCCCGTCTCTACTAAAAATACAAAAAATTAGCTGGACGTGGTGGCGCGTGCCTGTAATCCCAGCTACTTGGGAGGCTGAGACAGGAGAATTGCTTGAACCCGGGAGGCGGAGGTTGCGGTGAGCCGAGATCACACCATTGCACTCCAGCCTGGGCAACAAGAGTGAAACTCCGTCTCAAAAAAAAAAAAAAAGACAGGGGGCCGGGTGCTGTGGCTGACGCCTGTAATCCCAGCACTTCGGGAGGCCAGGCGGTCAGATCACCTGACGTCGGGAGTTGCAGACCAGCCTGGCCAATATGGTGAAACCCCGCCTCTACTACAAATACAAAAAAAATTAGTCAGGGGTGGTGACAGGTGCCTGTAATCCCAGGTACTCGGGACGCTGAGGCAGGAGAATCGCTTGAACCCGGGACGCGGAGGCTGCAGTGAGCCGACAGCGCGCCACTGCCCTCCAGCCTGGGTACAAGAGCAAAACACTGTCTCAAAAAAAAAAAAAAAAAAAAAAAATACACGGACGGAAACAGAATAGGGCTGCAGGAGGCTTCGCTGAGGACAAGGGCCATGGCTGGGGAAGCAGGACAAAGCAAAAGCTCTCAAACGGCCCCAAAAGCTGACGCAGGGCTCCGAACCGCCGGGCTTCCAAACCGGACCGAGCCCAGCGGCCTCCACCTGCCCCAGACCCCAGGGCACGGGTTCCGCGCTCCACGTCCCCATCGCAAGCCCCAGCTCGGCCGCTGCTTCCCCACCACCAACTCCACCAACCTCGGATGCTGAGACTCCCAGGGGTTCAGGACGTACGGATAAGAGGCGCCGCCGAGTTACAGCGCAGGGCAAGGTCTGGGGGCGCCCCCACCCCGGCTTCCTTCTCCTCCCGCCGCCACGCGCGCCGCACCAGGCCCGAGCCGCCCGCCCACCCCTAAACCCCGCACCCAAACGTCCCGAAATCCCCCTCCCGCTGCCAGCTCAGGTCGGGCCCAGCCCCCGAGAACCCCGGCGGCCTCGAGGCCTCCCGTGTCCGCCCGGTCCTTCATCGCTGCTGCTCCGACGGGACTACGCGAAGACGCCGAGCTCGACCCCACCTCGTGCCCCTGCACCCACCACTTGCGCCCCCGGCCCCCGCCCCACGGTTTTAAACAGCTGCCCGGCGCGCGGCTGACCTGCATGATGGTCTTGCGGATTTTCCAGAGCCGGTACGTCTCCTCCTCGTCGTCCATGGCGGTCGCCACTCGCACCCGCTACGCATGCGCCAGTGAAGTCTCGCGCGGACTGCGCCTGCGCCAAATCCCAGTCAGGGCCCCTCCGCTTTATCCGGCCCGGAAGCTGGGCTGCCTTCCGCGAAGGCCTGACTGCAGCAACGTCTGGGACCGGCAGCGCCAAGGGCAACCCTAGCCTTACGAGCGCGACAATTGGCTGCACGAGACTCTCGCTCCGCAGTTCTCACGTGTCTTTGGCCGCTCGGCCTCTCGGGAGTTGTAGTTTCCGTTCAACTCCCACGTTGGGGCAGCAGTTTAGAATCCCACGAAGTGGGGCCGAAGTGTGGGAGGGGAAACTGAGGCGTACATGGGGCCAAGGGGCAGCTCAACTCCTAGGGGCGGTCAGCCTAGTGAAAACTGTAAATATTTATACACCAAACTCTACAGGGTTCTCTGTTGTCTCCAGCCCGTGTCCCCTTCAGTGCCACTGAGCTTCAGTTTCCCTACCTGTGCAATGGCAATGAAGTATCCCTCCTTTAGACGGATAACTGAGAGCTAGGCGTATCTCTAGAGTACCCTTCCTGCAGTCCAGGAAGTAAAAATTGCATTGCTGAAAGATCCTTTGTCTCAGTGCTAATTTTTCTTTGCAGCACCGAGCATCTATTTCCAACATCTATTACCAACAGTGGGAAGTAGAAAGGTTTCTTTTTAAAGTTTCCTTTCCTGTTAAAGAATAAATCGGGCCGGGTGCGGTGGCTCACGCCTGTAATCCCAGCACTTTGGGAGGCCGAGGCGGGTGGATCACGAGGTCAAGAGATCGAGACCATCCTAGTCAACGTGGTGAAACCCCGTCTCTACTAAAAATACAAAAAATTAGCTGGGCGTGGCGGCGCGTGCCTGTAATCCCAGCTACTCGGGAGGCTGAGGCAGGAGAATTGCCTGAACCCAGGAGGCGGAGGTTGCGGTGAGCCGAGATCGCGCCATTGCACTCCAGCCTGGGTAACAAGAGCGAAACACTGTCTCAAAAAAAAAAAAAAAAAGAATAAATCATAAGTGTGTTAATAACTCTGTTAAGCCCTATCCTATGCCGGTGTTAGATATGTCATACTTCTAAGCAATTAGTATATCCTACGTCCTTGTACTTTAACCAAGATATCTGTGCTGGATGTGCTCACAGGCATGTCCCAGCTCTCCATTGCTTTTACCTGCTTAGAAAAGTTTTAAGTTGCCGGGCTCGGTGGCTCAAGCCTGTAATCCCAGCACTTTGGGAGGCCGAGGCGGGTGGATCACGAGGTGGAGAGATCGAGACCATCCTGGTCAACATGGTGAAACCCCGTCTCTACTAAAAATACAAAAAATTAGCTGGGCATGGTGGCGCGTGCCTGTAATCCCAGCTACTCAGGAGGCTGAGGCAGGAGAATTGCCTGAACCCAGGAGGCGGAGGTTGCGGTGAGCCGAGATCGCGCCATTGCACTCCAGCCTGGGTAACAAGAGCGAAACTCCGCAAAAAAAAAAAAAAAGAAAAAAGAAAAGTTTTAAGTTGTTAGCCGTAGGGGGGAACCCCGCAAGAGCTGAGGCAAGGGTATGAAGCCTCAGCATGTTCTCATATAAACATAGAATTAGAAAAGAATTAGAGATATTGTAACATAGTTATTCCTATATATCATCGTAAAATAATCACGGAACTATTCATATGTAATCATAGACATATAATCATATAATCTTTAATTTTACTGATAAGTCTCAGGTCAAGATATATGGGACTGAAGTGGCATTGGAAAAGAGGTGACCCTAAGACAAGATGCCCTAAGTCTTCTGTCACGCCCACAGAAGGGCTGCTGGAGGGCCCCTCAGCTGTGCGACAGTGTCAGCATTGTGGAAGCGCCCACTGTTTAGCCAGCCAAGGAAGGACATGTTCAAGATGGCCAAGACATCTCCTTCCTCAAGGGAGTGAGGAGAAAACTCTGCTCTTACAAGCTCTTGTGGGAGGAATAGAGGCTGTCAGGGAGGCCCACAGACATCAGTGACTTAATTTTCTCTACGGGGTGCTGTGCTTCGGGCTAATTTTTGCATTCTTAGTAGAGACGGGGTTTCACCATGTTGACCAGGATGGTCTCGATTTCTTGACCTCGTGATCCACCTGCCTCGGCCTCCCAAAATGCTGGGATTACAGTACAGCACCACGCCTGCCCCCAGGGCTACTTTCTTTTTTTTTTTTTTGAGATGGAGTTTCGCTCTTGTTACCCAGGCTGGAGTGCAATGGCGCGATCTCGGCTCACCGCAACCTCCGCCTCCTGGGTTCAGGCAATTCTCCTGCCTCAGCCTCCTGAGTAGCTGGGATTACAGGCACGCGCCACCATGCCCAGCTGATTTTTTTTGTATTTTTAGTGGAGACGGGGTTTCACCATGTCGACCAGGATGGTCTCGATCTCTTGACCTTGTGTTTCACCCGCCTCAGCCTCCCAGGCCTCCTGGGATTACAGGCGTGAGCCACCGCGCCCGGCCTCTACCTACCTACCTTTTTTTTTTTTTTTTTTTGAGACGGAGTTTCGCTCTTGTTACCCAGGCTGGAGTGCAATGGCGCGATCTCGGCTCACCGCAACCTCCGCCTCCTGGGTTCAGGCAATTCTCCTGTCTCAGCCTCCTGAGTAGCTCGGATTACAGGCATGTGCCACCATGCCCAGCTACTTTTTTTTTTGTATTTTTAATAGAGACGGGGTTTCACCATGTTGACCAGGATGGTCTCGATCTCTTGACCTCGTGATTCACCCGCCTCGGCCTCCCAAAGTGCTGGGATTACAGGCTTGAGCCACCGCGCCCGGCCTCCTACCTAACTTTTATTTCTCACCTGGACGCCAGCAGTTCAAGACCAGCCTGGGCAACATAAGAAGACTCCATTTCTTTTATAATTTATTTATTTATTTATTTTTGAGACAGAGTCTTGCTCTGTCACCCAGGCTGGAATGCAATGGCGTAATCTCAGGTCACCTCAACCTCCACCTCCTGGGTTTAAGTAATTCTCTGCCTCAGCCTCCTGAGTAGCTGGGATTACAGGTACCCATCATCATGTCCAGCTAATTTTTTTGTATTTTTAGTAGAGACGGGGTTTCGCCATCTTGGCCAGGCTAGTCTTGAACTCCTGACCTTGTGATCCACCCGCCTCAGCCTCCCAGAGTGTTGGGATGACAGGTATAAGCCACCACACCCAGCTGGAAGACCCCATTTCTACAAAAAATTTAAAAATTAACTGGGCGTGGTGGGGCACACCTGTAGTCCCAGTTACTCAGGAGGCTGTGGTGGGAAGGTCTAGGATGGCTTACCCTAAGGAGGTCGAGGCTGCAGTGAGCTGTGATTTCGCCACTGCACTCCAGCCTGGGCGACAGAGCAACACGCTGTCTCAACACAAACAGAAAACAAAACCTGAGGAGGAGAGGGAAGAAGCGTGGGGTGCCTGGAGTAGGTGTCTCAGGTGGAGCACAGGCAGGGTGGGGGCCCCGAGGCTGCACCTCGCCTGGAGTGCTGCTGGTGGGGATGGGGCAGGAGAGGAGGTCAGAGGGCACAGTGCGTCCGGTCCCTTGAGGCCTTGCTGATCAGGGTGAAATGTTTGGAGCTGCCATGTTAGGAAATGACTCTCGGGAGCCAGGGCAGAAGGGAGAGGCCACGGAGGGTCTGGGGAGGCAAACTGGCCAGAGGTGGGAGCGGCTCCGAGTAGGCGGGGGGCCAGCACGGAGCGGGTTCTGCGTGCTGCAAAGGCAGAGCTCACGGGATGGCAGAGTGTAAGCCGGGGATGGCTTTCCTGCCATAGGGTGAGAAAAGGAGGGAGAAGGGGGAACAAAGCTGTCCCTGTGAGCAGAGGGAAGGGCTGGGAGGGTGGGGGCGAGTAGGTGGGGATGGGCTCTGGAGTTCACGGCAAGGTTCCAGGGGGTAGACGGACATGAAGCCAAGGTAGACACATGGTGGAGATTAGAGCCGGGAGCCTGGACCGGGTTCTGGGAGCAGAGCAGAGTCTGGGGGTGGGAGTCCAGCCCCACTGAGCTTCAGAGGTCAGGGGAAGGGGAGGAGGGGGCAGCAGGAGGGGCAGAAGACTCAGCACTGACACTGGGGCAGCCCCGTGCTGTAAACCTGGCTGTGTGATCTCAGGCACCTTACATAACCTCTCTGTGCTGCCCTCTCCCCTGCCTTGCAACACAGGGACAAGAATGGCACCCACTTCACAGGGTAATTGGCTAACAATTGCAGTGTACACAGAGCAGCGCCTGACGTGGGCACTACACAAGTGTTCCGTAAATAGGATAAAGGGCAGGAGGTTGCCAGGTGTCCTGGAAACACCGTGAGGAGGTGCCTAGGGGCAGAGGGAGGAGTGGCTGTGTGATGCCACCAAGCCGCCGAGTCCACCTGAGGATTGAGTGAGGATTAGCCCGGGAGACAGGGCTTGTGGCTCAGGGAAGGGGGCCGGCAGTGCCCGGCAGGGCGGATTTCGGGGAGGAGAGGTGGCGCAGGCACACGGGGGCTCGGAAGACGGAAGAGCTCACGAGTGGATTTTACGGCACAAGAAAGGGCATCTATTTGGGTTGCTGCAGTCAAGATCCAGCAGTGACCTGCAAATCCGAGGGCAGGGCTGGATTAAGAGAGGCTGGGCCCGAGCCAGAGGCCCAGAAGTCACGCGGGATCCGCAGACGGGGCGGGTGAGAATGTTAAGAGGACGCAGCTGCTCTAGAAAACAGCCTGGTCGGCTGGGCACAGTGGCTCACGCCTGGAATCCAGGCACTTTTGGAGGCCGAGGTGGGCAGATCATCTGAGATCGGGAGTTCGAGACCAGCCCGGGCAACACAGTGAAACCCCGACTCTCCTAAAAATACCAAATTACCTAGATGTGGTGGTGTACACCTGTAACCCCAGCTACTTGGGAGGCTGAGGCAGGAGAATCACTTGAACCCAAGAGGTGGAGATTGCAGTGAGCTGAGAAAATTACCTAGACATGGTGGTGCGCGCCTGTAGTCCCGGCTACTCGGGAGGCTGAGGCAGGAGAATCACTTGAACCTGGGAGGTGAAGGTTGCAGCGAGCTGAGCTTACACCTGGGCAACAAGAGCAA